TTACTTGTAACGCCGTTACCATTTTCGTTACATTTTTTCGGTAACGATCGTTACTTTTTTATGTCTGTAACGGTAACGGTAACGTCGTTGCATTTTTACAGTAACGGTAACGAATTCAGCCGTTACTTTTATCGTTACTTTAGTTCCCTATTATCTTTTATATCTGTTCAATAGATCGTGAGCTGGTCGCGCGCACTATTCTTGATTGGACAAAAATATTCAAATATTGGGCGCTGGAAGTCAATGTCACATGAGAATGCGCTGTAAACATTTATCGATGTCTTGATTCTGGGGCCCGATTATTGAATTCATTCAAAGAAGAAACGTATACGAAAATTCTGCTCTGACAGAAAAGTTGAAAGTCGATTGGTCAAAAGCCACGCGTATATCCAATCAACTTGCAAATTTTCTGTAAGAGCAGAATTTTCGCATATGTTTCTCCTTCGTACAAATTCGAGAATCGAGCACCTGTATGCTCGATGACTTGCTATATAGAAACTAGTTTAAAGTTTTAAGTTTTAATATTGATTATTAAATAATAATAATAATGTAATTTTACAATTAACATCTTACTTTAGCATTTCAACAAAGTCACGAAAAAGGTAACGAATCATTACTTTCTAAGTAACGGTAACGCGTTACTTTTTAAAATTAGCAACGAGTAACGGTAACGAGTTACTTTTTACAAAAAGTAACGGTAACGGTAACGCGTTAGTTTTTTAAGGTAACGTTCCCAACCTTGTTAGTATCCAATCACGACGATCAAAATCGAAAGAGCTGCAGCTGCATTGTCGTGTGCAACTCGTGAAAAAAAAAAGGAGAGAGGATTTCAAGAAACTGCCTAGCGCGCGAGAAAATTATCGGCGGCCCGAAGCCGTCGGCAAAAATGTTTAGCGCGTAGATGAAAGTTGCAAAACAGAGCTAAGGGCGTAATAACAATAATTGTTGCCCGAATGAATTATTCATCGCGGGGCCAGCCGATATTGTAGCGTTACGGCCAGAAAAATCTCCGACTGTGCGGCGAACAATCGGTAGGCACGCACGCGTAATTAGACTCCTACATCCCCGCTGATCATTCCGTGAAAACTGAGGACCGGCGCCTGCGGCGCGACCGACGCCTACGCGTGCACACGCACGTGCGTGCCTCCACGCGGAACAGCTGAGAGAGCCGAGGTGCGTACGCGTTGACGAGAGACGCCGCGCCGGGTTGATCGTGTCGGAGTTAGGCGAGAAAGAGAGGGAGAAAGAGGGGGGGGGGGGTAACACTGCGTGTAGCGTTTTGTCGCTCAGAAAAAATAAAAGTTAGACGTGGCGTGAAAGAGATGCTATTCCTCGGGCAAAATCGAAATAAAATGTATCGAGCCGAGTTATCCAAGCAGACGATTTAGTAAAAATTACCCTCCATAAGACTAATATTTAAATAATGGTTTATACAAGATTCACATCCTCACGTGAAAAACGCTCGTTCGAGAAAAAGTACGAGTCGCGAAATCGTAGGGCGGAATTGTTTAATCTTATGCACCCTCTTCGTCAATAGTAAATCAAGGCACAGTCGAATAATATTTCTTTGTTCTTTTTCTCTAATCGGCAACATTCTATATGATATTCTTTTCTAAACGATCTCTTTCCAATTACGTTTTGAAAACAACAATTTTTCTTTTGCAACTTTTATCATACTTTTATCATACTTTTCAAATTGAATTAAATCGTAGCTTATTCATTCACAAGTAAATTACAAAAAAGATTATAATTTCCTGAAAAAGATGATTTTACGGAAAAACGCTTCAAAGTTTCACCGCCACAACCTTGCAATTGTCCTTTCTACTTTACACGTCTAGAAGTAAATGATGTATTAGACAACAAATAAAAATGTAAATTTGTTGTTTCTTTGATCATCCACTTCTAACAGTTTAAAAGACGCTCGATCTTTTATCAGACATACCCGAAATTAATTTGTATCTGTTGAAAATGTGCAAAGGACAATTAATATTTCTTAAAAGCAAATTGGTATCTTCATCATCTTAAAGCGCACCGTCGAGTCACTCGACTAACGCGCGATAAGCATCCAGCTCTCGCTGCATATTCTCAAATCTCGAGTCTTACAACCTTGCAATTGTCCTTTCTACTTTACACGTCTAGAAGTAAATGATGTATTAGACAACAAATAAAACATGTAAATTTATTGTTTCATTGACCATCCACTTCTAACAGTTCAAAAGACGCTCGATCTTTTATCAGACATACCCGAAATTAATTTGTATCTGTTGAAAATGTGCAAAGGACAATGAACATTTCTTGAAAGTAAATTGGTATTTTCGTCATCTTAAAGCGCACCGTCGAGTCACTCGACTAACGCGCGATAAGCATCCAGCTCTCGCTGCATATTCTCAAATCTTGAGTCTTACAACCTTGCAATTGTCCTTTCTACTCTACACGTCTAGAAGTAAAAGATGTATTAGACAACAAATTAAATAAAAATGTAAATTTATTGTTTCATTGACCATCCACTTCTAACGTAAGACGCTCGATCTTTTATCAGACATACCCGAAATTAATTTGTATCTGTTGAAAATGTGCAAAGGACAATGAACATTTCTTGAAAGTAAATTGGTATTTTCGTCATCTTAAAGCGCACCGTCGAGTCTCTCGACTAACGCGCGATGTGATAAGCATCCAGCTGACGCTGCATATTCTCAAATCTCGAGTCTAAACTCTTAAATTGCCCGCGGACTATAAAACACGCGTCGGCTCGATGAGTAAACAGAGGACGACGTGACCGCGCGGCGAGACGTTTGGGAACCTCTGATGTAAGCAATCGACGTTAGGACGAAGCGGAGATAAGGATTCTCAATGAAGCGCGCGCGCGCGCGCGCGGAAACGGCGAGCGGGGCGGACGGGGAAGGGGAAGGGGCGGGCGGCGCGCGAGGGAGTGAGGCCCGCGCGGTGCGCGACGCTGCACGTCGCGGGAGCGACTGAGAAGGGACGAACTTCGTGACTGGCTCGGTCCGGAGCGGTAAGCGTGCCGAGCATGCGCACGCCGCTGTCGCTTCTCAGTCTCGCCGTGGCGGCCGCGGGAGTCGGTTCCCGCATTTCGTGGCGCTAATTCGATTTGAACGCATCGCTCGCGCGCGCGTAGGCGGTGCGGTCGTGTCGCGTCGTGCCGTTGCTCCCAAGTGCGCGCGTTCTCTCTCTCTCTCTCTCGTTACCCCCGCGGTGTTTGGCGACACGGCGGGAGCACCGTCCGCGACGTAACGTCGTCGACGGGTAGGCGAGGCGATCTCGTCTCCTCCCGCGATTCCGTCTCCGGCGCGCGCGGCAGTTACGTCCCGCGAAACGGAAGTGCGAGACAACACCGGTCGGCAGTGCCCTTCGTAGCGTACACACAAGGTTATCGGACTTACCTCGCGTAGGTGGTGCGATCGGCGCGGTGTCCGAGTGTCGCTCGTCGCTCTCTCGCGGTCGACGATCAACAAGTGCGGCGGCCAACAGTTGCGGCCACGTGACGGCCGCGAGGTACAACAACGCCGCGGGCTCTTCTCGCGCTCCTGTTGAGTTGAAAAGGAATCCCCCGTGCCACTCGGAAGGTGTGAGACGTCCGACGTGAACCCGGGGGTACGACCGTACGCTTCGGTCATCGGCGAACGCGGAGTCGCCGCGCGTGTGATCGGAGCGCGGCTAACTTCAGCCCGCCGACGTGAATCGAATCGCTCCGGCAATATAGCGCGCGCGCGCGCGCGCGCGCGCATCGACGACAGTTCTCGCGGCACGTCTCGCGCGAAGCCGAGTGCGAAGCCGAGAGGAGACGTGACGTATCGCGTTGGCAAAACGAATCCCCGTCGCGTCCCGTCGCTCGGAAGGATTTCGCGGAAGTGCGGGCCGCGGCGTTTATTCGCGGAAAAGTGAAGCGCAGGCCGGAAACGCAGGCCGGCCCGTGAGAGGAAGACGGCGGCGGAGAGTGACCGTATAGGTGATACGATCGCGCGGGAATCGCGAAACGGAGACGCCGCGGCGGTGCGGCGTCAACCCGGTGTTGCGGCTTTCGCCGACGTTGTTTCCACGAGTGAATTTTAACTACGCCGCGCGCCGCCTCTGGACACGTGGACGCGCGCGGCGGCACCGCCTCGTCGCCGTGAATCCTCCGGTGAGTACCTCCTTCATTTTCCAATCCGTACCCGTCGACCACGGGTACTCGACTCTCTAATGCGAGCTCGGGCCGACGAGCCTCGGTCAGTCTGGGCATCCTCGCCCTCCGTCCTGAAAAATCGGAGTAAAACGCGCGTGCCAAAGGTCGTGCGCTGTGCTGGTGTGGCGTTTTGCTCCTAATTCTCGCGTCCTTTAGGCCCGGTCTACAATGAGTCGTTAGTCGTTAGTCAAAAGTCGCAACTATATGTTGATCCTTTTCCTTTCTGGGTGGAAGAAAAAGGACCGACATATAGTTCCGACTTCTGACCAACGACTAACAACTCATTGTAGACCGGGCCTTAGCGAGAAGTCGCGTTTCCCAGTGAGAAGTGATTCGTCGATCGACGTCGAAATGATGTCGAATCGTCGTCAATTCGACGGTGTCGACGTCGATCGACGAATCGTTTCTCACTGGGTTGGACGAGGGGAAAACCGCCGAGGGCATTGTGGTGTAGAGATTTGCGGCATTACTGGGCGTAACTAGGCATTTTCTGGGCATTAGTTTGGGCATTGGGCCTTGCTGGGGCATTTAGATAAAACAAAATTAATGAGATAACAAGATGAAGCCCACTGGGCATTAGTGGGCATTGGCGTGCGTGATTTTAGTCTACGGTTTATCCCTCGGTAAAAGCACAAAATCCAGGAGCGATTGGCCAAGTATCCACGAAGCGCCGGTACACTGATAAAAAATGTCTTAATCCAGAAAAATATTACTTCACTCAAGAAAGTTATTCATCGGGCGGCTCCTAATAGCTTATTAACTTAAATTTAAAAATTAATAAACAAATTAGAACGCGAATTGTTTTAATTTAAGTATTTATTAAATACCGAAGAGTTTCATTTTAATTCTACAAAATGTTTACTAAGATTGCAATTTTCGCAGCGAAGAAAATTTGATTTCTTTTTTAACAGAAACAATTACTTCGTTTAATAAATAGTATTCTATATCTCATGAAATCTTTATATGTAGAAAACGTAATCATTGAAATTAATTTACCTGATATAATACATAGATTTACTTGAAATTTGATATCGTTATTTAAATAGAATAAATATTTACTTCAGTAAAAAAGATAATTTTAAGTAAATCTATTTACTTAGCTTAAAAATAATTTTCGGTCAGTGTATCCGTTTTCGTCGTCTCCTCTTAATCGGACAGGCAAACGTTTCCGAAACGTTTGAAAACGTTTTATCTTCGATTGCCTCATCTTGTTTGCTTGATGAGCTTCCGTTGATATCCCAAGATTGTTAGTGAAATTCAAACGTGCTCGACCGATAGTCGCGGGGGAAAAAAGAATGCGGTTAATTGAGTTTTACTCGATTCACCCCCGAAAATCTTGACGGTTACCTTGCATCTTGATCTTGCGTCACGGGTCATTAAACTTGGATTGATTAATTGACACTTGTATCATAATCGCTGACAGGCTACAAGGTATTTTTCTCGCGGAGGAATTTCTATTGCGCGCCGAGGCATTCTCGTCGATACAAATGCAATTTATTGAGCAGCTATTTAAATATAAATACGAATAGTCGCGCATACCGCGTAGGATTATGACAACTGGTTAACGTTGCGGTCTGACAATAAAATACGCAACTTAAGCGCTCCGTTTTTTTCCCCTCTCCTTCGCTCGACACGCGTGCAATGTGCGCCGTGACGTCAATCGGTAAGTCATTTATTATACCTTAGCGACCGGCGGAAGAATAATCAGCCGGAGGAGAGTCTAGAGACCGGCTATTAAACGCAATTTTCGGCGTTATTTATCGACGAACGCGAAATTTAGATTGGAGCGGAGCCCCGGCCGCAAATTATTTATAATGCCGACGGCACACGATACTATTTTTCCCACTGGACTGTGCACGAGAGCCAATCAGGATTCAGCCTTAAGTCACACCTGATCTTAAGCCAACGGCACACGATACGATTCTTCCTGCTGGATTACTTACGAGAACCAATAAGGATGCAGAGTTTTAAGCCAACGGCGCACAATACTATTTTTCTTACTGGATTGCTTGCGAGAACCAATAAGGATGCAGAGTTTTAAATCAGGTTGATTTCAAGCTAAATCCTGATTGGCTCTCGTAAGCAATCCAGTAGGAAAAATAGTGTCGTGTGCCGTTGGCTTCGAACTGCATCCTGATTGGCTCCCGTAAGCAATCCAGTAGGAAAAATTGTATCGTGTGCCGTTGGCTCAAATCATACGGTCGATAAGAGATAACGTTTCTCGCCGCCGAGTTCGGCGATCGAAACCGGGCGAGATCGTTAAGGCCTGTGTCCACGTTGCCCGAGCTTGGAGCCAATCAACTTGCAGCTTTTATGGAATAGCCGCGAGTCGACTGGCTACACATTTCTCGAAACTAGAACGTGGACCGTGCTCTAGCATCGTGGACGCAGGGCCTTTAGACCTGGCGTGGTCCCCGATCGTTCGATCGTCCAATTAGGCGCGGCGGCCGCGATCGACTAATATCGCGGATTAATTAGTGACGGAAGCGAGGCGCGTTGTTTACAGGCGCCGGTAGCGCCGGCACGTCGCGTCCCGGGACGGCGTCGCGACGCGACGCGACGGTGATTCGCGATCGTTCGTTTTATCGTTGCGGCGATCGGTAATCTGGTCGGCAACTCACTCGGCCGAAGCGCGCGCGCGCGCGCCCGTATCCTTGAAGGCGAAATATCCTGATTACGATTCCGCTCGATGCCGCGGTGACATCACCGTGAAATCATCATCCTCGTGGAATGTCCCGGCTGATTAAATCTCCGCGTGTCTAGTGCCGCGCTACCTGCCTCGCGAGAAGACAAGCTTTTATTTTCATTTCCTCGCGTTTCCTCGTACGTTGATTTGCAGGGCGGTGGTGTGACGCGACGCCTGTCGAATATACAAACTTGCGATCGTAACTTTTTCACTTGATCGTAAGCGACGGATTAACATTTTAATGTCTTCGATTGACCCGTGTTTAAATCTCATTTAAATCTCACGTACGTCTCGTACGACGGCTAATTTGTTTAAGAAATTGTTCTACTATGATAGCGAAGGAATCGAGTGACACTTGGGTCCGGTTTTTCATTTCCTGGTTAATTGCTAACCGGAGGTTAGTCGACTCTGTCTCTTCCCACATAATAACATACACTGAGGAAAAAAGTTATTGAAATGTTGCGCCAACTATTTCTCACAATCAGTGTAGAAAAAGAATGGAAGGTCGACTAACTAACTTCTGGTTAACAGTTAACCAGAAAATGAAAAACCGGGCCTTAATATTTTCGTGCAACGTGCCCGATAAGATTCTGAATGAATACCGCGGTGCATGGCTGAAAATTATCGATGCCTTCAAGGCGTATTAAAGGAAGCGTGTTTGTTTACGCTTACTTCATAATATCGTCGCGGACGAGCAAGTGGACGCGGAGCGATCGCCGTGCATTGTTATTTCGTACGTGATTAGTACAGCAAAATGATGCGCGCTTCTCGGAATAACGACACAAATATTTTACACCGTAGTAATTTTAATTCATTCCGCAGCGCGCTCGATGAATATTGGATGGGCGGGTCACGTTGCCGATACGCCAACTTGACGCAATCGGTGGATACGCAATACGACGCTTGATTAATTTCGAAAGTTATTATTCTAACCGCAAGTGCAACAAATAAGCTGTGGCAGAGCAATCGCTTGTTAAATAATCGATCGTCGGAAGACGTTTACACTTCGAAAGCCAAACGCCAAAATTTTTTTTTTCAACAGCTCTTCCGAGATGAACGCAACGTAAAGGGATTAAAAATACCATCTTCTGATTTACTCGAGGGGGAAACCGCTGAGGGCATTGTGGTGTACGGATTTGCGACATTACTGGGCAATACTAGGCAGTTTTGGGGCACTAGTTTGGGCACTGGGCCTTGCTGGGGCATTTGAAAGATAAAATAAGATAATAAAATAAGATAATGAGATAAAGTAATGTCCACTGGGCATTAATGGGCATTGGTGTACAAGATCTTGGCCAGCGGTTTCCCCCTCGAATTTGCTCGTAACAGGAACTGTGTATGATAAAAATCTATGCGGTAATAGATAGGGATTACTCATGTGTACAGTCGCTACGTTCGCACTTCTCGCTGGAATTGCAGCGCGGCGATTTGCATAAAGCGAGCAGTCATCGCGCCGGTCGTAAATAGTCGTAATGCGATTGCGAAACTTAAAGCTCCCCGTATTACGCCGACAATGGCTACGCTCGATTTCTTAATTCAAGGCGGGAGAGCGAGTTATTTTCCGCCAGGCGGAGAGAGGCAGCTTCTCTTGCAACTCCTGTTTTGTACAATTATTACTAAAAATAGACTTCCACTATTCCGTAGTAAGCGACAATTTGGTAATCATAGGTAATCACTTTTGGTAATCATTTGGTAAT